TTGATAAGTTTAATATGAATGTCATAATTTCTAGGGAACCCACCAAAGAATAAAAACTGAGCATAGCACTGAAGGATGTAGATTATTAGATTAAAATTGTGAATAAAGATGGTTCACATCATTATAACATTTCAGAAAATCAATGATGAAGATAAGATAGTAGAAGATTCAAGAGAGGAAAAAGATTTACAGAGGATCAAGAAACAGAATGGCATTGGAATTCTTAACCATAACACTTGAAATTAGAACATAATGGAACAATGATTTCAAAGTTTCAGTGGAAAATATTTTTTAACTTTGGTTTTATCTCTGGCAAAACTGTGTATCAAAAATGAAGGTAGAATAAAGGCATGTAAAAACATATATAGACTCAAAAAATTTAGCTTTTGTGCAACTTTTCACTATAGTGCATTCTCAGGAATGCTTGAACAAAATAGACAAAAGCAAGAAAGAAGATATGAGGAATGGGAGAGAAATGTGCAACAAAATACAAAATAATAAAAAAGACCAGGCTTACTGGTCTGATAGAGACTGGTGAAACTCCCAAGAATATGACCTTAGATACCCTTCAAGCTGTAACTGAACTCAATGTCGAAGCTCAACTTTCAGACAAACAATAACAGGCCTATAAGGTGACCAAAGAGCTCTAATAGCGTAGTGCCTAAGGCACTTGACTGCTAACCAGAAGGCTGGAGGTTCAAACCCACCAGCCACTCCTCAGAAGGAAGGTCAGGCAATCTACTTCCGTAGTGATACCACCTCGGAAACCCAAGGAGGGGTTGCTATGAGTCGGGGCTGACTCAAGGGCATATAACAACAACTACATAAGGTGAACAATAACACCGTGGAGATATGCGTTCCTTAGGACAATCAACCATATGAGATCAAAAGGGCAACACATGCCCAGGGAAGGGACAGGAAAGAAGACTAAGAGAAACAGTAAACACAGGGAGGAATGGAAGAGTGCTGTTACATTGTGGGGATTGCAGTCAATGTCACAAAACACTATGTGTGTGAATTGCTGAATGGAAAACTAGTTTGCTCTGTAAACTTTCATCTAAGCCACAATTTAAAAAAAAAAAAAAGGGAGAAGATATGGCGATCAGAAAACAGGAAGTCAACATGAAAGAGAGGGAGAAGTCTTGAGTGCAAGGCTTGAGAGCAGAAGGATATTATTTTTCCCTAATAAATATATATGACGTCCATAACAGTTTTATAGTTATTTGAAGAATTTGTTACAAAATAGTGATAAAAAATAATAGTAATAGAACCCCCAGATAGTTGCCATTAGGTCAGTTCTGACTCATGACGACCCCATGTGTGTCAGAGCAGAACCGTGTGCCATAGGGTTTCCAGTGGCTGATTTCCCAGAAGTAGATTCCAGGCCTTTCTTCCAGGGCACCTCTGAGAGGACTTCTGCTTATCTTTCAGTTAGCAGCTGAGCACTTAAGCATTTGCACCAGCCAGGGATGCCAAGACATAGTTAGAGGCTCATGAAAAACCAAGAAAGTAACAAAATAAGGCCATTATTGATTTGAGGAAAAAGGAAAGGTTTACAAGAAAGGAAATGTAGTCAGAGTGTAGTACTTGGACGAGCAATTAAAACAACAAAAAACATAAGGTAAAGACTATTGATTTTGATTTTGAATCAATATTGAATATTGATTTTGACAAAAAATTTTGATGTTACTCTTTTGAGTAGGTGGTGGCAGAGAACAATGGAAGGAGATGTATGTATGTGCATACTAAATTTTCCTCTTTCACAGTAGTAAATTAATGGACAATATCTAAAACAGACAAATTAAGAAATAATGGAATAATATTTATTTAGAGATACCAAAACCAAACACTGCCATCAAGTCGATTCCAACTCATAGCAACCCTCTTTGAGTTTCTGAGGCAGTAAATCTTTGCAGAAGTAGATTGGCCAGTCTTCCTTCTGAGGAGTGGCTCGTGGGTTTGAACTGCCAGCCTTCTGGTTAGTAGTCAAATGCCTTAGGCACTCAGCAGTAAATTTCAGGAGAAAAGTTAGAAGAATTGAAAGTGATTTCTCCTGGAGAGTGTAACCAATATCGGATTACCTGATAAGCAAGGTAAGCCTATGTTTACGCGTGCTTACTTACTTATGAATACCACTATAGATTAGTAAGTAAGCACAGATATGCCTGTGCTTGGCTTGCATATTGGGTGATCTGCCCCTGAGGGTGATTGAAGGGAGAGGAGAGGTAGAGAGCAGGGTACAGTTGTTTTTTTTCCTAGGCGCTTTAGTGCTTTTTTACTTTTAAAAACTATGTGTATGTATTTAGGTATAGACAATAAAGGCAAATACTGTTGCATACACAATACTGCATTATCAGTAACAGCAAACACTAATATATGGGTGGATATATAGGTAGACAGTTATGGATAGGCAAATGGAAATATACCCACGACCACACATAAATTTGGCAGACGGTATTCCGTATTTGTATGTGTTATAAACTCTGGTAGTGTAGTGCTAAGGCACTTGACTGCTAACCAGAAGGCTGGCAGTTCAAACCACCAGCCACTCCTCGGAAGGAAGATGGGGCAATCTACTTCCGTAGTGATACCACCTCGGAAACCCAAGGAGGGGTAGCTATGAGTCGGGTGTGACTTGATGGCACATAACAACAACAACAATATACAAAAACAGTGTTCTATATCTTATTTCGGGAGCTCTGATAGCGCAGTTAGCATTTGACTGCTAACCAGAAGGTTGGCGGTTCAAACCCACCAGCCACTCCTCGGAAGGAAGTTTGGGCAATCTACCTCCGTAGTGATACTGCCTCAGAAACCCAAGGAAGGGTCTCTATGAGTCGGATCCGATATGAGGGCAGGGAATATATCTTATTTTGGTGAGTAGTGACTAGGGTCTTAAAAGCTTGTGAGCGACCATCTAAGTGGTAACTATTGGTCTCTCCTCTGCTGGATTAAAACAGTGTGAAGACAATCGAAGATTCATGGGAATAATTAGTCCAAAGGACTGATGGACCATGAGAACTTCAACCTATATGACCCTGACACCAGAAGAACTAGATGGTGACCAGCTACCAATGCCAACCACTCAGAAAAGGATCAAAATTGTAGATTCTGTATAGAGTGGGAGAAAAATGTGGAACAAAACTCAAAATCATAAGAAAAGACCAGACTTAACTCGTCTCATAGAGACTGGCAAAATCTCTGAGACTATGGCCTTGAGTCACCCCTCAGGTTTGGAACTGATCTCACTCCTGTGGCTTAACCCTCAGCCAAATAACAGACAAGCCTACAGCTGAATACCTATTCCAGAGAGATGCACTCCTTGAAGGATCAGCCGATCAACCGTGGGAGATCAGGAGGGCAGCATATTTATACACAGGGAGAAAGGTAGAGAGGCAGGAATGCATAGGCAAGAAGAACACAGAGAAAGGGTAATCACAGGGAGGAAGTGGGAAGTGAGATGTTACACTGCTGGCAATGTGACCAGAGTCGAAAACCAAAATGCATGTGAAATGTTGAACATAAAATGAATCTGCTTTGTAAAATTTCACCTACATCACAATTAAAAGTTTTTTTAAAAAAATAACAAAGCCAATTGTGAAAAGGACATCACAGGACAATTTAGGGGAAAGTGATGTTTTAATTGAAATAATTTTGAAAGAAGAAAGACAAGAAAAGAAGAAATCCAGCTAGATTAGAGGTCCGTGGTGATATATGCTAACATCAACAGAGTGGACAGAGGTTCTCCTGCTCTCATAGTCCTCATAAATAGATAAATCTATCTTAAATCTGTCTTTCTGTCCTATTATACATGCCTCCAATTAGGCTTAATGGAAATAGCACTTTGTATTGTGCTGTAAACTTTTTCTTATTTCAATTCTCTAGTATCTTTGCTTTAGCTTTTTTTTTTTTATAAAAGCCTTTAGCTTGGAAGTGGGGGTACTGACTCACCTTTCCAAAGTAGTAATAAACTTAGTTTCCTGTTACGGGCTAGGGAAAAAAATGGGGAGAGATGTCAAAGTTACAGATACCTGTAAGTTTTAGAACATGTTTGTTCATTTGATCTATAATTGTCAAGATATGGGAACATAAGCTTGTTGATATATTTTATGATTCTGTGCCTTAGTGAAGTAGGTATATGTACAAAGTCAAAAAGACTGGAAAAGCGAGGGCTAGGGATATAGTCCCTTAACTACCATAGTATGCAGTTTCCACTATATCAAGTGCTCAATAAATATTTGTCTCATGAATTTATTCAAAATCGTTGTAAAGCAGTCTAATATAGTGGTTAAGTACATCAACTTTGGAATCATGTTGATTTAGGTTCATATTCCATTTACCACATGTCACATATCACACTGCCACTTGCTAGCTGTGTGACTTGTGTCAAATAATACATCTTTTCCAAGCCTCATTTCCTTCATATATAATGAGGGACTGTTCATATCTATGGGAGATCTGGTGGCATAATGCCTAAGGCATTTGACTGCTAACCAGAAGGCTTGTGGTTCAAACCCAACAGCCACTCCTCAGAAAGAAGATTGAACAATCTACTTCTGTAGAGATACTACCTCAGAAACACAAGGAGGGGTCACTATGAGTTGAATTGACTCAGTGGCAGTGAGTAGTAAGTAATTAATATCTACAAGGAGTTTTGGTGGCATAGTGCCTAAGGCATTTGACTGCTAACCAGAAGGTTGATGGTTCAAACCCACCAGCCACTCTGTGGAAGGAAGATTGGGCAATCTACTTCAGTAAAGATTTACCCCCTTGGAAACCCAAAGGGGGTCACTATGAGTCGGAATCTACTTGATGGCAGTGAGTTTGGTTTTGGTTTATTAGTATCTATCACAAAGGGTTAGATGAAATGAGTATATAAAGTGCCTTACATGTGTTTGTGGTTATGTGTTTACAGATAAATCCATGTATAGCATCTAGTACGTTTATTATTGCTATTGTTATTCCTATGACAATGTATTTTTTTATTTTTTGTTTTGTAGATGCAGCCATCATGGTCTCTTGCTGTGCTATCTCTTGGTCGACAGTTGATTTTCAAATAGCTCTAAGGAAATCCTTGTCTGATAAAAATCCCTTTAATGGACTTTGTCCCAAATTGACTTACCTCTTTTATAAGTTGTTTACATTATTTTCTTGGATGTTGAGTATTGTACTTCTACTGTTCTTAAATACTAAGATTGCTTTGTTTCTTTTGTTATTTCTTTGGTTTTTAGGTATAATTTGGGCATTTAAAAAGCAAACTCACTTTTGTGCTTCCATAGGTATGGAATTCTTATACAGGATTGTTGTTGGATTCATTCTGGTTTTTACATTTTTTAATATTAAGGGACAGAATACCAAATGTCCAATGTCTTATTATTATATTGGAAAGGTACTAGCCACATTGTGCATACTGATTGTCCTCTGGTTCTTCCCACCCCCTATTGTAAATTCAGACTATCTTATACTTATCAGTATCACTACAGCTGTTACTCTTCTCCTTGGAATTATTTTTCTTATTGTATATTATGGGACTTTTCACCCAAATAGAAGTGAAGAAAAGAAACCTGATGAAATTGATGGAAAACTAGTTCAAAAAGATTGTAGAATGAGGTATTTTCTAATGGAATAAGCTATTCATTTATGAAATGCATTTTCTTATTTTATATTTCATTAGTTAGTAAAGAAAAAATTCTCCGTGTGTTTTGTTTATTATTTTTGCCTTCAGTTTAAGAACAATTTTGGTACATTACTTGGGAATGTGAGAGATAGAACATAATAGTATTTTTATTATTTAAATTAATTGCACTTGTTTTTGAAGATCTTGGGTACTCATATATTTGCCTACTACCTGATAGGGTTGCCATTTTGAGTATGAATTAGTTGAAATTGTCTGGATCTCATAATTAAAAGGCTAGAATCAAACTTCTCTTCAACTTTTTATAGCAACAAACTCATACAATATTTGTTCTTCTGTGATTGACTTATTTCACTTCATATAATGTCCTCCAAGTTTATCCACATTATGAGGAAATTCATGGATTCTTTCATTATTCTTTAATGCATAATATTCCATTATGTGTACATACCATGGTTTGGTTATCCATTCATCTGCTGATGGGCATTTAAGTTGTTTCCATCTCTTTGCTATAGTGCTGTGATGAACATGGGTGTGCATATATCTATTTGTGTTCTGTATCTTACCTTTTTAGGATATATTCCTAGTAGTAGGATAGCTGGATCAAATGGTTATTCTATTTCCAACTTTTTAAGGAAGCACCATACCATTTTCCAGAGTGATTGTACCATTTTAAAGTCCCACAAGCAGTGTATGAAAGTTCCAATCTCTCCACACCCTTGCCAGCATTTGTTATTTTCTTAGGCTTGGTTTTTTAGAGAAGCAAAACCAATAAAGCTTATACATATATATCCATATCTATATCCATCCATCCATCTATCCATCCATCCATGCATCTATGCATCTATGTATGTATGTATGTATCTAAGAGAGAGAGATAGAGAGAGAAAGAGAGAGAGAGAGAGAGATTGATCTCAGGGATCAATCACACAGTTGTAGAGGCTGGCTAGTCCCAAGTTCATAGGTCAAATGTCAAGCCAAAGGCTTTTCCTGACAGCTACAGGGGCTGATGAAGCAAAGATTGGCAGCCAGTATAGCAGTCTGCTAACTTCAGTGGGTGATGAATCCAGTTTTGGCAAGCGAAGTGACAGATTGGTGGCTCACAGGCTCCGAAGGCAACAGTTCCAATATTGGCAGGCAATATGGCAGGCCACTCGTTCAGCTCCAAAAACTGGATGATGATAAGCTAGATTCAGGGTCCAGATCCAATAGAAAGTCAAAGAATTTTTCCAGGACATCCATATATATTGGAAGGGCCACACCCCTGAGGAAACTTACTTTCAACTGATTGGCTGCTGACAGCAAATCCCACCATGGAGGTGACTACCTTACATCAGATCTCGTGATAGGAACGACCATATCAAAGCTGTTTAAACCACTCAGAATCAAGTTGGTACACAACACTTAAGTATCACAGTTGTTTTCTTTCTTGTTGAACTTTGCTGTTTTGTCTGAGATGAGATTATATCTCATAGTCATTTTGATCTGCATCTCTCTAGTGACTAATGATTGCAAACATTTCTTCATGTGTTTGTTGGCTGCCTGAATATCTTCTTTGGTGAAGTGTCTGTTCATGTCTTTTGCCCATTTTTCAATTGGATTATTTTTCTTTTTGATGTTGAGGTGTTGAAGTTTTCTGTAAATGTTAGAGGTAAGTCCCTTGTTGGATATGTGGCTGCCAGATAATTTTTTCCAATCTGTAGGTTCTATTTGAACTCTTTTGGAGAAGTCTTTTGATGTGCATGAGGTTTAATTTTTAGAAGGTCTCAGTCATCTAATTCATCTTCTACTGTTTGTCCATTTTAGGTTATGCTTGATAGCCTATTTATGCCATCAGTTTGGGGTCCTAAATTTTCCCCTATTTTATTTTGATGGACTTTATAGTTTTGGCTTATACATTTAAGTCTTTGATCCATCATAAGTTCATTTTTGTATATAGTGTGAGGTATGAATATTATTTTATTTTTCTGCATATAGATATCCAATTTTGCCAGTACCATTTGTTAAAGATGCTATCTCTCCCTATTTGGTGGGTTTTGGCCCTTTGTCAAAGATCAACTGCCCATAAGTGAATGGATCTATTTCTATATTCTCAATTCTCTTCCACTATTCTATGTGTCTATCATTGTACCATTATCAGGCTGTTTTGATTACCATGGCCATGTAGTAGGTTTTGAGATTGGAGATTGTGAGACCTATTACTTTGTTTTTCTTCTTCCATATGCTTTGCTTGTCCAAGCTCTCTCTCTTTTCCATATAAAGTGAATGACTATTTTTTCAATGTCCTTAAAGAATGTTGATTGAATTTGGATTGGGATTGCATTGAATCTATAGATTGTTTTGGATAGTATTGACATTTTCACAGTGTTCAGTCTTCCTACCCACGAACATGGCATGTTCTTCCATTTAAGTAGGTCTCTCGTAGTTTCTTGCAGTATGTTTTTTAGTTTTCTTTGCATAGGACTTTTGTGTCCCTGGTAAGATTTATTCCTAAGTATTTTATCTTTTTGGTAGCTACTCTAAATGATATTGTTTTCCTTATTTCCTTTTCAGAGATCTCTTTGTTGATATGGAGGAAGCCAGCTCATTTTTATTTGTTGATCTTGTTTGTATCCTGCTACTTTGCAAATCTTTCAATTTGTTCCAGTTTTTTTCTGAGCCTCTTGGGTTTTCTATGTATAGGATCATGTCATCTGCAAATAGAAATAGTTTTCTTCTTTGTCAGTTTGGATGCCTTTTATTTCTTTTTCTTGCCTTATTGCCCTGACTAGTATTTCCAATCCAATGTTGAATGGAAGTGGTGATAGAGGGAATCCTTGTCTGGTTCCCATTCACAAGGGGAATGTTTTGAGTCTCTCTCCATTGAGAATAATATTGGCTATTAGTCAAATGCCTTAGGCATTATGCCACCAAGGCCCCTGATTACTTTTGGGTCTATACCCTTTCATATGTTGAGAAATTTCCCTTCTATTCCTATCAGGAATGAGTGTTGGATTTTACCAAATGCCTTTTCTGCATTGATTGATATAATTATGTGGTTCTTTTCCTTTGTTTTATTTGTGTGATGGATTATATATATATATATTTTTTTTTTCTAATTTTAAACCACCCTTGCATTCCTGATATGAATCCCACTTGTTCATGGCATATTATTTTTTTTGATACAGTGTTGGATTCTATTGGCTAAAATTTTGTTGAAGATTTCTGCATCTATATTCGTGAATAATGTTGGTCTGTAGTTTTCCTTTTCAGTGGTGTCTGCCTCATTTTGGTATAAGGCTTATTTTTGCTTCATAAAATGAATTTGAGAGTATCCCATACTTTTCTATGATCTGGAATAGTTTGAGTAGGATAGTGTTAGCTTTTCTCTGAACGTTTAATAGAATTCTCCAGTGAAGCCATCTGGGCCAGTACTTATTTCTGAGGAGTTTATTTCTGCCCTGCTCAATGTCTTTCTTTGTTATGGCTGTTCAATATTCTACCCAAATCTGTGTTACTTTATGTAGGTCTTGTGTTTCTAGAAATTTGTCCAATTCTTCTAGGTTTTCAAATTTGTTGGAGCACAGTTCTTCAGAGTATTCTGTTATATTCCTTTAATTTCTTTTGGTTCTGTTGTGATGTTACTAATTTCACTTATTATTCATGTTATTTACATCTTCTCTTTAGTTCAGTTTGCCAGTGGTTGTCGATTTTGTTAATTTTTTTGAAGAACCAACTTCTAGTCTTGTTGATTTTTTTCTGTTGTTTTTGTTATCTGCTTCATTTATTTCTACTCTGACCTTTGTTATTTCCTTTCTTCTGGAGACTGAATGCTTCTTTTATTGCTCTTTTTCTAATTGTTGGAGTTATTGGGCTAATGTGTTGATTTTGGTTCTTTCTTCTTTTTGGATGTGGACATTTATTGCTGTAAATTGACCTCTAAGTACTACTTTTGATGTGTCCCAAAGATTTTAGTTTGTTGTGTTTTTCATTCTCATTTGTTTCTGGGAATTTTTTTAAATTTTTTATTTCATACTTTATTTCTTCTGTTACCCAGTGGTTCTTGAGCAGTATGTTATTCAGTTTCCATGTATTTGATGTTTTTCCCCTATATTCCTATTATTTACTTCTAATTTTATAGTAGTGTGATCTGAGAAGATACTCTGTAGTATTTAGATATTTTAAAATTTATTGAGGCTTGCTTTGTGGCCTAACATGGTCTATTCTGGAGAATGACACATGTGCACTAAAAAAGAATGTGTATTGTGTTTTTGTTGAGTGGAACACTCTATATATGTCTATAAGGTCCAGTTGGTTGATTGTATGGTTGAGATCATCTGTATCTCTGTTGATTTTTTTTGTAGCTATTCTGTCCTTCATTGAAAGTGGTATGTTAAAGTCTACTACTACTATTGTGGAATCGTCTGTTTCTCTTTACAATTCAGTTAAAGTTTGCTTTATGTATTTTGGAATTTTTCCATTGGGTGTATAGGTATTTATTATCATTAAGTCTTCTTGGTCAATTGATCCTTTTATCATCATATAGGGCCCTTCCCTGTCCCTTATGCTGGTTTTTGCCTTGAAGTCTATTTTATCAGAAATTAATATCACCACTCCTGCTCTTTTTTGGTTGCAATTAGTTTGATATATATTTTTTCACCATCCTTTGCTTTTTAATTTATTTTTATCTTTGTGTCTAAGATGAGTTCTTTTGTAGGAAGCATATTGTCATCTGTTATTTTTTTATCCAGTCTCCCACTCTCTTTCTCTTGACTGGTGCATTTAATTCATTCATATTAAGTGTAATTAATGATAGGTATGGATTTACTGCTGTCATTCTTTTGTATTTTTTGTTGTGGTGTTAATGGTTTCTTGAATATTTTTCTGTTATCAGACTTTCTTTTCATTTCCTTAATTGTTGTTAATTTTGTGTTTACTAAATCCCTGTGTTTTTTTCCTTTCTTATTTTGGTTAGAAGGCTTATTAATTCTTTTTGTGGTTATCCTGTAGTAAAT